TTCCCTCTCCCTCTTTAACATTTAACGTCCGTCAATTACACGCCCGTTACTAATATATCAATATATATAGTTACATTAGAATATTTATAGTTAATATAATATATTTATAGTTACTATTTATAGCTATATAATATTTGTTCCATAAACTTGGTTTCCTTAATAAATTTAAATAGGTCCTGTATTTTATCATTATTAAAATTTATTTTTGGGGTATTCCCTATTTTATTATTTCCCTTTTTTATTATATCACATTATATTTCGAGTATGTTAGAATAAATGGTCAATTGAGATCGAATGAATTGCATGTTGCATAAATTTGGGGTGGTTCTTTTATCAGCGAAAAGCAGTGTGTTCCCTTCATGTGATCTATTCTAATTGTAAATCAGATTAAACATTTTCGTCTAACCTAAAAGGTACGTACAATCCTCAGCAATCTCCCAAAGCATCGCTGAAAAATAAATATTATTAAACGAACGAAAAAACGAACTACTATTAAAATTAAAATCGCACCCATATTCCCAATTAATTTCCCAAACATCTTTCCAAGCAACGACATCAGTCCCGTGCGTGTCAAAATAGGCGAGAGAGCCTTTTCAATTAGTCCATCGGTGCAATATCGTGACCCCAGGGCTCCCATGGGGTGCCATAAAGATACGTAATGGACACGGGGTGCGGACTTTCGGCCATGGAACGTAAAAGGAATACCCTCGTGACGAAGTGGTTCTCGCGGAAGGAATGCGTGTACACACGGACCAAGGGTAAGTTATGGTGGTTTTTACACGCGACCGTGTTGGGAATATATTCCAGACTCACATGACGGATAGGACGAAAATTATTTTTCGTGCGAACGTTAATGCCGCGTGGTCACCGTCGGTTCTTCGTGTCGCGTGGCTGAAATTCGACGTTGTATATCTCGTTTCGATCTGCTTCTGGGGGCTTTTAACCGGAAATGTGATTAGAATTCGCTGGAGTGGAACGGTGAATATTCGGCCAGCTGTTAGATTTAATTTCGTGCGATAAGTAAGGACTCCAAGGCATTGTTTCAAATTGCTGTCTGGGTGGTTGCGAAGATTGGAATAATTGAAAGGGTGTTTACACGGGTATTCGTGGATTCGTGACAAATAGGGAGAGGATGAATATTTTAAGTGGTATAGGAGACTCGATGGAAGGGTGAAAGACGTAACAAGATACGAGTTTACTTTTTGAAATCAGTCGAGTAATAGAGAAATTCCGAAAACATGCGATTATACAAGTATGTGAAACGATAATGCATTATTTCTTAATACTTAATATATTTAACCACGAATACTTGAACACTATATCGCATTTCGATTATGACATTAAACCTACCAGTATTCAAATACTCATTTCTAAATTTTTAATTAAAAGTTTCGCATTCAACGTTGTCACTTTAACTACTTCTCCTTGCAATTCTTCTTCTGATATAGGTATGAACCTTTTTCTTTAAATATCTCATATATATATATATTTTTTTTAATTTTTATTTCATTTTATTTCCTTGTCTACCGGTTATGGTAGATTAAGTATTAAA